GACCGATACTATTTAACTTTTTTTTATAGACATTTTTTTCAACAGATTTTTTACAGTTTACAAGTCATATCTAAATGTTATAGTCCTACAGGGGTCGCAATTATGGTCCTATACTTAAGAACCAGGATAATGATGGAATGAATAGGGGCGTATATTTTTTAGAGATCATCACAATATATTTAAGTTGCAAAATAGACCAAACAAATTATATTTACTGAATCGTTTGTCAATATTTTTTGAACGACGGACAAAAAAATTTGCAATTCGAAAACAGGGGAAAATTTAAGTATTATTCCCTCACTTGTTTCTGAACTGTCGAGTAGTATAAAAATTGGCAAATTTTTACAATAGATTAGTAAAATCGCAGTTTTTGCACAACTCTTGTTATTGTCAATGGCAGAGAAAAAATGCAAACCAAGACTTTAGAAAAAAAAAAAATATATGAACACACAGAATCACTCCAGTCCTTATTGATGAATAATTTAAATTTGATTTTTTTTAGAATTTATTCACAAAAACGACACGTTATTCGAGGATATTTCTCGGTTATATTTTATTCATACGATAATGTACACAAAAAATATATACATATATTTTTCTACTTCACTGTTAACATTTCAAAAAAATCGTTGCTTTAAGCAACTTCTTTTGTTGCATTTACATTTATTTATTGCCACTTTTGCATGAACAAAGAAACGTAACACATGGCAACAAAACCACTGAGCTGCAATTCACCAAACAGAAATAGCCGTCAACAGATTACCGACCGAACGCCTTATGATCTCGATTTGTAACCACAAAGTAAAGATCTCCTGAATGAGCAATGGAACAGGTTTTCACACATAATCCGCAAAAAAAAAAATAAAATAAAAACCAAAAAACCTGTGGATTTATTAACACTGCGTACTTAGTTGTATTAGCACAATCCACAAACTAAATAATAAGTCAAAGTCGATCGGGAAAATACACTACATAATATCATAATATCGAGTAAATATAAATATTATTGAAAAATACGTTTGAAATATTATTAACAAGTAAGCAAAAGCTATAGTCGTGCAGGGCCGACCATGTGATACCCTTCACACTACAATATGTTAAAAGCCCCCTTATGTCCAAATCTATTTTGGTAGATTTCGCTTTTAAAATTATATCATGGAGCACTGCCCAGATATTACCCTTAGCATTTTGACCAGGCACAATTGCCCAATATTTATGCACTCCGTCGAGTTGTTAGTTGTTGTGATCCATTTTACAGCTAAATATAATCCAATGGTCATCCAAAATGCTTGACTTCTTCGCTGTCCTTAACTTTCTTCTCATGCAAAATTCCGTGTCGATTGGTTTCAATTGTATGGTCAGGAAAATTTTTCTGTTTTTGGTTTTTTTACAATATTTGGCTATATTCATCAATGAAATCGGCATAAAAAGCTAGAAGTTCGCCTTTTCGTATATTTGGATTTTATTTTCATCCGTTCGGTAAAATGAAAATGTTGCTATTTTTTTACACAACTGTAGTAGTCCATTCTACCCGTTGTCCCAAAATCAAACTTCATGCGAGATTTCGTGTCCTTTGGTTTCTATTTGTGACCTTTATAACGGCTGCAAAATCAGGAAGATTTTTAGTTGTTGGTCCATTTCAATCCCTTAATATATTGCGGACATCTTTGAAACCAATAGACCTAGCGCTTCTGAGCCTAACCCTACCCTTATGAAAATTTTCATTAGGATCGGACGATAATTGCAATCTGTATATAATATCCCCAAACTGTGTTGTAAGGTGAAAAATTTTGCAAAATATACACTTCAGTCAAATTGAAAAAATGTTTGGGATAGAAAATATGAAAAAATAAAAATATGTTACAAAATACCACGAAATTTATGTTAACATCATTATTGGCATCTTTTTATGCGATTTTTATACCAACAACACTTTTGATTGGGCCAAAAAGTATGTAACACCTCGAAATATTGGTTTCCCATATAGGAAAGTATATATGGATCTTCCTATCTCACCGAGCTGAGTCGATCTAGCTATGTATGTCCGTCCGTCTGTCCATGTTAATATGTAATCACTCTACATGGCCCGATCTTCACGAAATTTATAATGTAGGTGGGGTTGAGGTCAGAATAGAACCATATTTCTTTTGGAGATGATGGCATAATATTTAGGGGTTGAAAATGATCAAAAACTGACAAATTTCCTGATTTTGCAGTTGCTCTACAGGTCACAATTATAGACCAATCGAAGCGAAAGTTAGCATGGGGCTAGAGCTGTGGCTGGGCAAAAGCCTTCCAATTTTGAAGGTCATCGGGTAATATTTAGTGGTTGAAATAGACCACAGCATTTGTGATAAATAAAAGTCAAATTTTCCATTAAACCGCGAATATTTTTAATGTCGGCGAAATCACAAATAGACGAACAGGTCAATTCTGACCGTTACGTAGATGCCGATAGTAAATATATCGGATATATATAGCGAAATATGTACAATGTATATATACAAAGGAATTAGCTAGAATTCTTATATCTCAAGAATGGCTAGACCGATTTTTACAACTTTTGTCAATTCAGAATGCCCTCTTGGCATAAAAGTATAAAATCTATATAGATTTTGTAGTATTTTGTGACTTTTTTTTTTTTTCATATTTTTTATCGCATGCGATTTTTTCAATTTGACTTTAAATATTGAAGTATATATTTTGTGATATTTTTCACCTTACAACACAGGTTAGGATAATTATATACAGATTTCAATTATCGTTCGATCCTCACGAAAAGGGTAGGGTTAGCCTCAGAAGTGCTAGGCCTATTGTTTTCAAAGATGCCCGCAATATATTCAGGGGTTGAAATGGACCAGCAACTCAAAATGTTCCTGATTTTGCAGCCGTTATATAGGTCACAAATAGAAACCAAAGGACACGAAATCTTGCAGGAAGTTAGAATTTAAGACAGTTGGCAGAATGGACCACTACTTTTGTGTGGAAAAATACCAACATTAATTATAGGCGATATCCGAAATACACAATAGGCGAACTTTTGGCTTTTTATGTTGATATCGTTGACGAATATAGCCAAATATCGTAGACAAGCAAATCATATAAATGAGTCTAAATTTGGAGACACAGAAGGGTCTCTTCTTTTGGAGATGATCGCAAAATATTAAGGGGTTCAAATGAACCAAAAACAGAAAAAAAATCCTGATCACACAATTGAAGCCAATCGATACGCCTGAGAAGATGGTTAAGCACAGGGAAGAATTCTGGCATTTTGGATGAGCATTGGATTATATTTAGGCGTAAAATGGAGCACAAAAACTAACAGCACGATGGAGTGCATAAATATTGAGAAAATGTACCTGGTCAAAATGCTAACGGTAATATCTGGGCAGTGCTCCGTGACATAATTTCAAAAGCGAAATCTTCCAAAATGGATTTGGACATAAGGGGGCTTCTAATATATTGTAGTGTTGTAGGGTATCACATGGTCGGCCCCGCACGACTATAGCTTTTGCTTACTTGTTTTTAGATATTATACTTTTATGCCAATAGGGCATTCTGAATTGACAAAATTTGTCAAAATCGGTCCACCCATTCTTGAGCATTCTAGCTAACATTCCCTTCCTTTGCACATATTGAATATATTTCGCTATATATATCAGATATATTTACTATCGGCATCTACGTAACGGTCAGAATTGACCTGCTCGTCTATTTGTGATTTCGCCGGGATTAAAAATATTTGCGGTTTAATGGTGAATTGGACTTTTATTTAACACACATTTTATGGTCTATTTCCCCCACTAAATATTACCCGACGACCATCAAGTTTGGAAGACTTCTGCCCAGCCCTAAGCTCTAGCCCCATGCTAACTTCCGCGTCGATTGGTCTATAACTGCGACCTGTAGAGCAACTGCAAAATCAGGAAAATTTCCATTTCAACCCCTAAATATTATGCGATCATCTCCATAAGAAATAGGATTCTATTCTGACCCTATCCCCACCTCCATTCTAAATTTCGTGAAGATCGGGCCACAATTGTGACTTATAGAGTGATTACAAATTAACATGGACAGACGGACGGACGGACATACATAGCTAGATCGACTCAGCTCGGCGAGATAGAAAGATCCATATATACTTTCCTATGTGGGAATCTAATATTTCTTGGCGTTAAATAATTTTTGACCAATCAAACTTATAATACCCCCAACACATAGTGTTGTAGGGTATAAATATTCACTTTTTTATGGACATATTTTCACTCGATTATCTTATGTTATATCCTTTTCTGGAAAGAAGACATTCCGAATTTGTGAGAATTTTCAGAATCCATGCAGCCTGTCTTGAGTTATAAGCGGTCTAACTAAAATCCCCTACATTATATATGAGATTGTAGATATTTTGCTATATATGGGATATTTTGGATATGGGCATCAATGTATCGGTCAGAAACTTATAATACACCCAACACATAGTGTTGTATGGTATAAAAATGTTTTAAAAACCATCATAAAATTTGTGGTTTTCTTCCACATTCTTAAACAAGTCGTGTATTCGAGAATTCTAATTTCTAAAAAAACGCGTGGCAAAGAACTTATATAAATTGATTGTTACCGACTTTAAACCAGTTTGTATTAAAACATTTTAATATTCAAATAAATCTAAGAGTCAGGAAGAAATTAAACTGTTCAGGCCTGATATGAATCAATCACTTTATTTTGTCCTCAGATAAAATTTTTCATACGACAATAATGAAACTTGCAACTTTGATGTGTGAACTTGAAATCTTTAATTAATGCTCTGCTAAAGTGCAACCACAACAAATGCTTGACACCATTTATCATATCAACATGATGAAAGTAGGGGCTACCACTTGTAAACAGGAATTTTATATCCACAAACATAAATACGTAATACATTTGTATGTATGATCTCAATAAATTCTTTTGTTTTGTATCAGATAAGTCTGAGTGAACTTTGACTTTTCAAAAATTACCTTGAAATAAAATAAATATTTATTATGCTTTTCAAAAGTTTCAACTGTATTGAATATTATTTTTCAACTATTTTTCACTATTTTGTAAACATTTACATTTATGTAAGAAATTATTTTTCTCTTTTTATTTATTTCGCACAAGTTATGCTCTACCATGAAAACAACATTTTTATAGGCTTTTTAAAATTTTCTTTTCATTGACTATTTGCATTGCGATCATATATTAATTATTTTCATTTCATCATTTCAAAATATCGAACATTTTGGCCAGAAACTCTCTGACTATTGTGGATTTTAAAATTTTTGTTAACCGAAATTTAGTTTTCCGCTCAAACGTACCGTTCGTTTTGCAATATCCGCATAAACTGTTTGGTATTTCACTTATCGCATCTTCATCAGGTCCCTACGAGTGAGCGGTGTCTGTGTCTGCAAGTGTGTGTGTGTGTTATGTTGTGTTGTTGGCCGGCAAACTCGGCTCATGGTCTGAATGTGGAGGTTCTCAACTTGTCACCCGTCTTTTCCTCCATCTCGTGCTCCTTCATTCCCGTTTCGTTTGCCAAGATAGGGAGTTGGTGCAGCCAAAGCCATTGAGTAAAACTGGTTTTCGCCTCAACATACCAACTAACTAACTAAAAGCAAAATCAGCCGCCAACCATTTGTTCGTTCGTTCGCTCGTTGCCGTTCAGTTTTGGTCCCCACATATTGTACCAGTCCGTCAGGCAGGCACGCATCTAGACAAGCAAGTATTCTTGTGAAACATAGAAACCCAGCAAAAAATGAAAAACTCCTCGTATTCTTTGCATTTTGCATTCGAACGAATGCTCAGCGGTGGTGCTGGTTGGGCTGATGCTCATAATGGGTTTTGTTTAAAAATTAATGCCAAAAGATAGTACCAGTCAAACGACCAAAAATATCTCGTCTCTCGTCGTTGGTTAGTCAATGAGCCGAATCCAATAGGAAAACCGGTATAGGGAGTTTTCGCTCTCCCAACATCGTGTACTAAATATGTCCTTTGCATCTGGCAATGCCGTGGGAACAGTTTTGCCGGTTATTTCCATTGTTTTGATTTTTATGCGCATGCTGAGAAATTGTATGTTGGGAGAACATATGGCTGCTGTTATATTAATGTTAAGCAAATGTTAGAGTATTTCTTGCACAGTGATCTGTTATCAATCTTTATATCAATCGGCATACGATTAAATATTTTCTGTTTCCTATTTGAATTAGTTTCAATGTCAATGGGATGACAAGACGACAGCGGAGGAAAGAATATCAGAAAAATGTTCCTTATGGGCGAATATTCAATATGTATGTAATTGAAATATTTACTTGGCAGTGTATAATTGGAGCCCGGGTACCCTCCGAAAAAAGTTACTATTCTGACTACTTTTTGGAAATTAAAGTTTTTTTTACCAATATTTGCGTTTTTTTTTGCCTCTAAAGTACATTTATTCGAGTACTCTAACCTCCGTTATTTTGTTGTATTCAGAAAGCAAGCAAATGGAACGCTGATACATTTGTCTTTGATTGGCTAGCAAAACTATATCGAACAAGGGATATATCGGTATTTTGAAGATTTCTGCCACACTTTTCACTGTAATTTCAAGTAGTTTTGTATTTCAAAATAAATGAGAATTTATTAATTCCCATTTTCATAACCCCCTCACCATACGTTCATTTCAATTTCTATTTCAATTGTTTAATTTCAGTTTGAGTTCCTACTGTGTACAAAACATTATGCATGGGTATAGATCTCATGTAAATGTACTTCCCCATGTTTGGAATATTGATGATTTTAGCTGAAATGTCGTCAAATTTGACATTTGGAGTTCTGAATGAGCATTACCTCCTACAACAGACAATTGCCTATATAGCATTTTCAGAATTTTAGCGACATTGTTCAATGCAAATATTTCAATATTTTTCTGTTAGAAAATTATCTGCATTGGTGAAGATTTTCGTATACTTGGTTGGTATTGAAAATAAGATGTATCGGTCCACATTTTGTTATAGCCGCCATATAAGGGTACCTCGCGATATTCGGTGTTTTGATAATTTTGGCCACATTATTTTTACGGATTTGTCTAAAAATTGGTCATTGTGTCCACGTTTTTGTATGGCCCCCATATAAGGGTACCTCCCGATATTCGGTATGTTGATGATTTTTGCCTCATTTTTTCATGGATTTGTCTAAAAATTGGTATTTGTAGGTCATGATTGGTTCTAGCTCCTGAAGCGAAACATTGCATTTATAACGGTACCGCCCGATATTCGGTATTTTGATGATTTTTGCCAAATTTTTCCACGACTTTGTCCAAAAATTGGTATTTGCAGTTCATAATGGGTTCCATAGAACGTATCCCAGCGATATTCTGTATTTTGACATCTTCCCATGACATCTTTTTCAAATTTGGTATTTTAGAATATTTGGTAGATGACAATCCTTGAAGTATAAAATTGTCTATAGGCCATATAACGGCCTAACCCACTTCATGGTTTTTACACCCTACACCACAGGGTGGTAAGGGTATTATGTCTTTGTGCAGTTGCTTGTAACATGGAGAAGGAAGCGAGATAAACCCATAGTCACATTTGAGGATCTTCATTTGGAGAAAATCGGTTCATATATAGCTATAGCTTCCATATATTTGTTTCATCCGATTTCGGGTTAATTGTGCACCAAATGGCTATTATCAGCCCACATGAACTGAGTTTTGGCAATTACGACTGACTTCATCCTGTAACCCAGTACTTCAAATTTGCTGTAAATCGGTTCAGATATATCTATAGCTCCCATATATATATTTTATACGATTTAGGATTTAAATTCCATCACATTCGTAAAATGCATTCGACAACAATGATATTTGGTACAAGTTACCAGATGAAGCCCAGAAACACCTCTACCAAATTTTATCAAAATCGGTTCTCATTTGAATATAGGTCTTATATATATCTTTAACCGATTTCGAGTTAATTGTCCACCAAGTGGCCAATATCTGTCAAAAAGTGCTGCATTTTGGTAGAAGCAAGTACATCGAATTAGTAATAACAATGATATTTTCTACCAGATATCTTATAAAGTTCGGAAATACCTTTGCATAATTGTATCGAGAACGGCTAAGATTTGGATATAGCTCCCATATATATCAGTATATATATATATACAACAAAGTATATATATATTTGATCAGCGTAAAATTCTAAGTCGATTAAGCAATGTCCGTCTGTCTGTTGTAATCACGCTATCTTTCGAACGAATTGAGATAGAAGGCTAAAATTTTGCTCACATGTTTATTTTGCCAGTAGGCAGCTTAAGTTCGTAAATGGGTCATGTAGGTCCACGTTTTCATTTAGCCCCCATATAACGGTACCTCCCGATATTCGGTATTTTGGTGATTTTAGTGACATTATTCACCGGAATTTCAAATTTGGTATTTAAAGTTCCAAATGGATACTACAGCTTATGACAGAAAATTGTCTGTGCATGCCTCCATATAACGATACCTCATAATATTCGGTGATTTTAGCGTCATTATTTACCGTAGTAGTTTCAAATTACATATTTAGAGTTCGTAATGGGAACCACAGTCTGTGACAGAAAATTGTCTATGCAGGTCCAGGTCTTCGTATGGGCCCCATATAACGGTACATCCCGATATTCGGTATTTTGAGTATTTTAACGACATTATTCACCGGAATTGTTTCAAATTTGGTATTTGAAGTTCGAAGTGGTTACTACAGCCAGAGACAGAAAATTGTCTATGCAGGTCCAAGTCTTCGTATAGCTCCGATATAACGGTACCTCCCTATACACGGTATTTTGATGATTTTAGCTACATTATTCACCGTTTATTTCAAGTTTCGAATTTTTATATGGTAATGGCTTATAACAAACAATGCCTATGTAGGTCCACGTCGTATATACTCCAATATAACGGCTATATTCGGTATTTTTAAGATCTGAACAGAATTTTTAGCGGATTTTATTTTTTGAGAATTTCGAAATTCGTTCCAAATGGTTATTCAAAGTATTCAAAGTTTGGCCCGGCCGATCTTACTGCTTTTTAACTTGTTTTAATACACCCTATAGCAAACTATAATTGCTCTAAAGGCAAATGTTGATAGGTGGTATGATCTAATTGAAGGGTATCATATAGTCGGCTCGCCCGACTTTTGATTTTTCCTTACTGGTTTGAAAATTATAACAGTATTATCCAAACTGTATTACTGTTATTTGTAGTTTAAAGTGGAACTCGTTTAATGGTTTTTTACTTGCTTATTTATGATATAGTAGTTTCCGATTTCCTTCAAACCTCGCACATACTATTTAGGCAGAATTAAATATTACATGACAACAAATAACAAATTAAAATAAGGACTTTCATAAAATGAGAAATTATTCCTCAAACTTCCCTCAATGCAAAATTTGTACCAACATTAGACCTAATCTAAAATCGGGACATGTAGGTTAAAATTTTAGCTTCGTTCCCCAAACGGGGATTACATTAACAAGTAATCAAATTCTAGAGTTATATATATGCACAAGGAAACCATTTTGTTAAACTATGTCAATTTCACCAAGCTCTGCGGTGCATTAGCCCAAGAAGAACTCTTCTATGATGACGTACCATATCCACTTCTTCAACAACGGTATTTAATTAGGATATTTCAATTGAAAACTTGATAATAGATTTTAAAAAGAGGCAAATAACCTCTGGCCAATTGCAACAATAAATTTTGAAAAAATCTATTTGTAATTAATATACGTACCTAAAGAATTCCAACGTCCATTATAATTTGTTTGTTTGCTTTTTTGCCAAATTAGATTTGTCAATTTGCAGTGCATCGAACACAAATATGCGTACGTATGTAGAGTTGTGTGCATTTAATCAGACGAACATAAAAGGAAATTAATGAAATATTTAGAAATATGCTCGAATTACATTCGAGCACGTGTCCATTCTCCAGGAACAACAATTAATTACCCATACCGTCGCACACACACACAAACATCGAACAATGCTAATGTATTGTGTCCATTGCCGCTCTCCATCTTTTTATCTATTCAGGGCATTCCAGAGAAAACAAACCAAGCAAAAACACTGCACGTATATTCGCATACGCAGATAAATACATAAACGTTCCTGGAAGCGTCCATGGTAACTAGCATGTAATCGAAGCTACATTGAATGAAGGTCGCACTTAAACACAACCATAGACCATTTTCCAATTAATAGTAGTTGGAGGTGGCGTGGGGGCAAGATGGCCTGGGCCTGGGAAAGCAACAAGAAGAGAAAAAAGCACGACAACAGTAAATAATACCAAAAACGAAGCAAATCCAAATCGTACCTTACAATTTTCATTTTGTGGAGAACAGAGATACGTTTACGGAATAACAAAAGATACCTTAATGGAAATTGAAATAAAATGCCAAACAATCAATATACACACGGCAACACATACACACACACACTCTCACACTCATAGACATACAAATGCACGTAAATATCGTCAGGATTACACATATTCTATTTACACCAATACGCCCACATACACACAAAGCGAGACCAATAGCAACTCACAAAGACACCTACAATCAATCGTACATACACACACATTTATATGTATGTATGTATCGTGCCTGTATTTATACAAATATTTAAGTA